TTGAGCAAATATTTATTAAGTTCTTATTTTGGGCTAGGCAGAAGGCTAAGGTAAAATCTAAAACCAATTAACAAACAAAAGCAAACTCAATAGTCCTTGTCCTCATGAAAATGATGATCTAGTATGAAAGGAGAATGGGAGGTTTTGAATAGATGTTAGTCAAAGAAAAATAAAATTAACAACTGTTACAAATGATAAGAAGAAGTAGGTTAGTTATGAAAAGTAAACTGGAAAAGAGAKAGAAAATTGCCTGTGGGATTGAAGACAGAACTGAAATCTGAAAAAAAAAAAAGAATGAGTAAGCTAGGGAAGGAGGCAGAAGGGCAGTCATCTGGGCAGGTGGGATAACAATAATAGATCTTGTAATCTGCTACCTTTCCTATCCCCTACTATCCCCCTCAGTCACTAATATGGCATTATGTAAAAATGTGGATGTGTAATCGATGTGATTCTGCAATTTGTATTTGGGGTAAAAATGGGCGTTCATAACCCACTTGAGTCAAATGTATGAAAGATGATATGTCATGAGCTTTGTAATGTTTTGAACTACCAATAAAAAAACAATAATAGATCTTGTGATGGGAGGGAGCATCTTCTACTCCAGGAAAGGAAAGAAGGACCTGAAAGCAGAGATGGTAGGATTGGAGATTAGGCTTGAAGGAGGGACTACATATTATGCAAAGCACTGTGGGCAAATTAAGGATTTTAGTCTTTCTTATGAGTTATTGAAAGTCACTGAAGARTCACAAGATTAGAAAAGGTCACTGTGGCTACTGCAACTAACATGGATGGGCCCAAGGTAAATGAGTGCCCATGTGCAGCATGTGACATGTACAGAAATGTTCATAGTAGTTCACAGTTCTTAATAACCCTAAACTAGAAACAGACCAAATGTTCATCAAGAGTTGGGTAAATAGTTTGTAGTGAGGGTATGCAATGGATTACCATATAATAGACTAAATGAATGAATTGCAACTATACACTACAACCTGTGTGAACTTCCTGCAAATAAAGAATTCAAACGCAGATACAGCATGATGCTATGGGTATGAAGTTAAAAAGCACATAAAACTGATGTGGTGTTTGAAGTCAGGATAGTGGTAATACAAGAAGGAGTGGAGAGAAGGGCTAATGATTGGAGATAGCATAAGGTGGGCTTCTGCAGTGCTGACATGGTTCTAATTTGTGATAATGTACAGAGTCAATGTTTATGTCTTGTTCAGTTTTCAATGTATGTCCAATGTCACATTTAAATTTTTTTAAGTTGTAAGACTAGATCAGTGGACTTATTTAATGGAAACAGTAAGATCAGTTAAGGAGCAATGATAGTAGTCTAGGCCAAAGGAAACCATTGTCCCTTGAGCTTTTCTAATGATAAACATGAAATGAAGTGGACTTATTTGAAAGGTATTATTCAGGAGGCAAAATAACCAGATGTTCAACATTGTTAATTATGAGAGAAATGCAAATCAAAACCACATTAGGATGTCTACTGTCAAAAAGTAGAAAATAATGAGTATGGGCAAGAATGTGGACAAATTGTAAGTTTTGTGCACTTCTGGTGAAATTATAAAATGGTGCCACCACTCTGAAAAAAAAAGCATATGTACGGAATAAGAGGAAGGAGATGATGCCAAGGAAAATTAGTAGGAGCAACTGATTTAGGTAGGAAAAGAKGCAGTCTTCTGTGGGAAAAGACAAAATATAAAATGAATCATGATAAGAATAAATTTTCATGTTTCGTAGCAACTTACAACTGGAGTCTTTTAACTCAAAAGGACAACCCCTTCGCACAAATTATCCTTCCCTATTGTATGACTCAATCAAAATGGTCATTTCCTGAGGGATGCTGATCATATTTTTATTTATCTGATGCATCCCATATTTACATAATGCATCCCAGTATGTGCCTAACGAATAGTAACTATAACTCTATGCCAAGCTCTCTCCTTAGAACCTCATAAGTAGTAATATATGTAGTCCTTACAACAGGCTATGAGGTAAGTACTGTTATTATCTCCATCTAAAAAATGAAAAACCTGAGGCGCAGAGAGGTTAAGTAATATGCTCMGCAGGTAGGTGGCAGAGGCAGAACTCTGAAGCAGTATTTCTCCAGAACCTGTGTTCCTAATCACTGCACAAACCTATACCTGAGGCATGTGGTGTGGAGACAGAGGTGCTGCATTTCTAATGGGCTCCAAAAATTTGCTTTATGCTTTGAATGTTTTTTTTTTTTAAATCAGGATTCAGTGGGTATTAGGTTTGTTCTGTTGGTGTTGAACTTTATATAAACATTAATGAAGTTGAAGTCTATTCAAGACTCCTAACTTGAGGAAACACCTCCTTATGGTCACTGGGAATGATACTAATGTCAGTATAGAAACTATGAATTCACCTGACCTGAGGGATACTGAAAAATATCTAATGAAGCAAAATGAAAAAGGGTAGTCTTTTGATGATTAAAGAGAAAAAGAAAGAATGGAGCTAAGTGATCCCCTTACACAGTTAATGTAATATGTAATTTCTATTGAATCAGGGAATTAGAAGAAATATTCATGGAACTTCTATAATCAGCATCCTGTTGAGATTAAAGTCAGTGGATTAATTTTTAATTTAATTTTGAGAGGAGAAAGAAAATGGATGAAGCAAATAGTATGAAATTCTTAAGATGTTCAATTTTTCTCTTTGACAGAGAAAAAGAAAAAAAGCAGTGTGGGGTTAAGTGCAAGGATGTAAAGGAAAAAAGCATACTTTTTTTTTACATCTTCTTTCAGTGATTTTATTCATTCTTACAAATTCATTTTCATTCTTTTAATCATATATTTGTGTTTGTTTGCTCTGATTAATTCATTTGTTCACTTATTCGTTTATGTCCCTATTGAGCAAACTTTTCTTAAGTATCCTCCACCTGCCATRTATTGTTTAAGGTGCCATGAATACTACAGTAAGTAAGGTAAGCAAGATTCCTAGCCCACAGAGTTTATATTGTAAGGATGGCAAACCTGATAGGCAGAGAAAAATCAATTAACAAGTAAGTGAATATAACAAATGGAAATAATAAGTCTTATAAAAACGTAAAACTGGGTAATATGTTGGAGAGGGTACCTGTTGGGAGACTATTGAATAGTCTAAGATTATGTGACAAGTGATTGGTTAAATGAGTAGGAACTACTACACAAATAATAAAAAGGTAGCATGTGATAAATGTAATGATAGGATTTTAAATAAAGTACTCTGCAAGCATAAAAAAAGAAAAAAGTAATACATAACTACAATGAATTTTAAGTGTACTTAAAGCAATACAGGCTTTTGACAGATGAAGATGGTAGGGAAGAATCTTCTTGGCTGAGAACATAAAATTAATYAAAAAAATAATGAATAAGAAGAAATATAAGAGGTAACACCTACCATGTCCAGGAAAGGAGATGAGCCAAAGAATGGAAGAGAGGTTAAGGGAGAAAGCTATTTGAAAGCAGAGGAAACAGAATACCCTGAATGCCATGAAACAAGTGTTAATTTTATATTTAAAAAATTAGGCAAAGACTTAAAAAGACATTTTTCCGAAGATGATATACAAATGGGCAAAAGCATATGAAAAGATGTTCAAGATTGTTAATTATGAGAGAAATGCAAATCAAAACCACATTAGGATGTCTACTGTCAAAAAGTAGAAAATAATAAGTATGGGCAAGGATGTGGACAAATTGTAAGTTTTGTGCACTTCTGGTGAAATTACAAAATGGTGCCACCACTCTGAAAAAAATGGACTTTMCACACACACACACACACAAAATTAAAAATTTAAAATTCAGTGATTTGCTATGGGGTATATTTCCAAAAGAAGTAAAAGCAATGTACAAAGATAATTGTACACTTGTGTTCATTCCTGTAGCACTATTCATGATTTCATGATAGCTAGTAAGTAGAAGCATCCCCAAAGCAAATATGGCCTGTACATATGATATTTTTTATCCTTAAAAAGAGAGAGAATCCTGTCACACAACAACAATTATGAACCTTGGACGAGTCAAGAAAAGATAAATACTGTATGATCTAATTCATATGAGTTATCTAAAGTAAAGTTTGTAGAAACAGAAAATAGAATGGTAATTAACAGGGAGGGAGAGGGATAAAGGGGAATTGTTTAATGGATATATAAATTTAGATTTGCAAGAAAAAAAGATTTTAGAAATCTGTTTTACAACACTGTGAATATATTTAACAATACTGAATTATATGCTAAAAATTGCTAAAGATGACAATCTTGTCATGTATGTGCATGTGTGTTTTACCACAATAAAGAATTCTTCAGTTATTTAAGTCCTCAATATCTTTGTTGCTTTGTATTAAACTTGCAAGGGATCATACATGTGTGAGCACAGGCATGCCCATGTGGTATGTCAGTTTGCAGAAAGTTACATGTATGTGCTTGACTCTGTTAACCTTATCTATCTAGACATGTCTCTTGGAAACTTGTCCCATATCAGGCAACAAGCTAACCTAAACAAAGGGACTTTAAAGTCCTGTCACTCTGGAATTATCAGCATCTGCATGTTGAAAAGTTTCCATTATATCAGCTTGCCCATAAGAAGTCACCTGATTAGAGGACTTTTTTGACCCTTCCATATGCAAACTTTAAGACAGTTCTTTAGTTGTATATATTGGTATAATGTCTACATCTGATACACTTTAATTATCAAGATTAATACATGTGATATATAAGGATGAAATATATGTGCTGTATGTTTCTTCCCTATTTTATATGGATTACACTAACTATAATTAAACAATAAGGCAAAGTCAATATTATTTAGTATTTAACAATATTCATTGCCACACAATCTATTTTTTAAGTATTGATCACATAAAACATACAAGGTGAATACTTAATTTATTTTGGGTCACATGTAGTGAAATAGACAATGTAACTTTAAAATATGCTTAACTTTGAAAGTTTTTTATTAGTTTTATTAGAACTTTCTTACTATGGTCATCTGCATTTTGTGTTAACATAAGACACATATTTTTGWAAGTACAAAGTTGTTTCATTTTACATGGTTTGAACTTGAGAAGATGGTATTTCTCAAGTTTCAAGACAGCATTTAAATGCATGGGACCACGCACATACTGGTGGAAGGATAACACAGTCCTACAAACTGGTTTTATTTGGTCCTGTAATTTAGACCAAGTTGGAGGGCATGAGGGTTACGAAGCTCACAGTGTATAATCAAGGAAATCCTGTAGTCAGAATATGTTTATTGCTTAAATGTTTCAACAGAATGGTCTTAGGCATGACATACAAGAACTAAAAACATATCACAAAACAAATATGACATTTATGTGGAACTACAACATCCAACAGGCTTACAATATTTAATCCAGATCTAGTAACGTGTTTCACAAGTTCTAAGACCAGGTATGCCTTGCTCATCTCTGAATCCCAAGTATAGTAACTGGAATGTGTGTGTAACTGAGTGAATTAATTATAATCAGTTCAGACATTTCTTTCTCAAAACATTTGAAAAGTTGTCTTATGTCCTCCGTGCTCCATAGGATGACATTCATAATTTGTAATAAAACAATTGTAAGTTGTGCTACGTAAATTTCCTTTTAAGATAAAAACATGCATTGGTTTGCTAACCAGACACCTCGAGTCAGTTAAAATTATACTTACAATTTCAGTTAAAAACAGCAATAATGAATAATGGCCTAGAATAATTAAGAAGGGGTGCTGTGAAGTTACATAGACTTTGTAATCAAATGTTGTTAGGTTCAAATTTCACTCTGTAACTTGGACGTTATGTGAAGTTGGATAAATTATTTAACTGTTCTGGCCTCACTTTTCTCTTTCATTAAAATTTTGTGAAGATTTACTTAGTCAGTGTATATGCGATGCTTTGTGCCTACTTGGTAAATAAAAATTGTAGCTATTGAATTTTTCTGAAGGTTCTCATTTTTTAATTTTCAGTGGACTGTACTCTTGTTACAAGTACCACATTTTGTTTATTCATAAGTCAGAACATCATAAATGTTTTGAATGAATAAAGTAAATGAATATTTAATCAACTGTTTGGTGGCTCTTCTTCATAATACTACACAAGATTTTGCACCATATGATCTTGTACCTGAGGTGTATTTAGACATTATCATAGCAGACAGTGAAAGCAGAAATAGGGCATTTTATATCACTGGAATAATTTGTAAAGCCTTTGATGAATCAAGGCTTTGTCATGATAATTAGGGAATTCTCAAGAAATGCTAAGCTTAAGTAACTACACATTGGATGGAGACTCTATTACCATGCATTCACATATAGCCATATTCTTGATTAGCTACATAGTGATTTTTACCATTAGAACATTTTTTTTCTCATTCACTTTCATTAACACAACTTTAGCTGATAAGTGGCCAAGTCGTTTTGAAAATTTCACAATAAAAACTATAAATCCCCTCTGTATTTTGTAATGAGGAAAGCTACCAACAATGAAGAAGGGATTTCTTTTTAATAAAAATATTTGATATATCCACCAGAAAGCTTTCGTGTGGTAAATATTAGATTTACAACTTCAAAACATATTCACCATATTCAGATATCTATCACCAGAACTATAAATACCATGKATAAATTTGAAGGTAATTTATACTTTTGAATGAGAATCATTTTTTTCTCAGAATTATTTCAAAGCATCTCTTTTACTAAATAATTTAACAACTTATCACTTTATGCACATCTCAGAAGTATGCTACATTCTCTGGATTTGGATTCCAATGTGTAACAGATTTTTTTAGGCTTACGGAATCCAAAAATCATTCCAAATATTGTAATAAGCTAAGCATACTGCCAAAATATGAAATTATACTTGGAACCAATGTTTCARAAACTCACGTGTTCATTTATGCTCTTACTGAAATAACTATATTTGAAACAAAAATCAAATTACTATCAAGGGGAAACCATTTCCACTGTAAACAATGAAAACTTGGGTTTATTTTCAAGATATATCATTCTCCTTAAGATTATTCAAAGGATTTTTAGACATTATCCTGTTCATAAGAGCACAAACTATTTTAGATTCATGCYGGGCTTAACACTATATGCTATAGAAAAATAATGTGGTATTTTGATAGGATGAAGCTTATTTTCCACAAGTAAAAGTTAACCCCMAAATGTATATTTTGTAATAAAGCTCATTAGGTGTCTATTTTAATAAAAATAAAGATAAGTCAAAAGTTTGGGCAAATAGCTTGAAAATTGAAATATTTCTTTYCCCTTACTTCATCTGTTATTTGTTATACTCAAAGATGCTATTGAGTTCCTCAATCTTCTTCATGTTTTTCACAAAATGTAGCTATAAGAAGAGTAATCATATGGTATACCCAAAGGACCATTTGGAAACAGTTGAATGGTATATAAATACAAATTCATGAGATATTTTTTTCTCTCCAAATTAGATATTATTGGTCCTGAGGAAGAATTAAAAATATATATATAGGCACACACAAAAAAGCTCACAGAAAACCTGTTTCTCTTAGAACTTCAACATTTAAACTATAATGTATGGAGTTTTTAATAAAGAATTTGAAACATCCTTGAGTTCTGTATACTAAATGAGTCTTTTTTATTTCAGTATGTTAGCATATATTAAGTAAGGATTAACTTCAGGTATAATGTTTGTATTGGCATTCTTATAAAGTTTCAAAATACACAATATTAGGTCTGAAGTGTTTAATTTTTAAATTATGAAAATTAAGGCATAAAATTTATGCATGTTTCAAATAAGAGTTTTTCTTTTTTGTATTTTTAAAGTTAACATGTCATTGGCCTCAAAGTTTTCTCCTTACAGCAGTATAAACTGATATCTGCTAATATAGCTCTTAAGACTAAGGAATAATTTTTATTAAGTTTTGTTCTATGCTTTTTCTAAAAACTCTTTAATACCTGCCTCACTTTTCTAATAAGATACTAGTAATAGATAAATGAATAAATCAGTGTTAGTGATACTAAAAGAAAAACTTGTACAAATATACTGATTTTGACTCTTATGTTGCATTATTTCATGTAAGATGGGAACATTTATTGTAATTTAAAATGTCCTAGTTATCATGGAGAACTAAAAATGTGGAAGTGCTATGATGTTCTATAACAATCCTCTCATCATTTATGACTTCCTGGTATTCTATCTCCTATAAAAGCTTAAGAATCACTGACTTGGCATTCATGATGGCTGTGTCTAAATATGCAAATAAAATTCTAAGCCACTAACAACTGATCATTCCAATTTTTAATGGCCCATTAACATGGTAGCATAGAGAGCAAGTGATTAAAGTATCAGTCCTGGCTCTTGTACTTCCAATTCCAAGGCACACAATAGATAAGAATCTATTTCAAATGACTAAACCATGTAGATTATTTGTCATTATATTCAATAATATTAAAGTACCTAAACACTACTAACTGCCATTCTAATTGCTGAAGTCTTGGAGGTATATCAATATTGAGTAAGAGCACAGTTGCTGAAAAATTTGCTACCTCCCTTGGCTCATTTTAAACCAYAGACCAATGACCTTTCCAGATAATTTTMATTTCTTATGAACCATTACCAAATAATAATAACATTACAAAACATATTTTCTTTTCTCATCTAAATTTTATTTCTAGTATTTTTTGCTTTCACCCCCTGCCCTGCTGAAGTCCCACTCCCTGCAATCTACAGCTCACTCCTAATTTTTATTGATATTATAGCCCTGTGAATTTTAAAGAACAATGGTAGTAAATCACACTGGATTGAAGAGTCAGGAGAACTTCCTTTGTTTCCTGGATCTGTTTGTAAGTAAATTACATGATTAGGTAAATCTGAGTGTCAATTTTCTTAAAAGGAAAATAGAAAAAATAATGTCTCAAAGACTGCTACAAACATTAAAATGAAATTATATAAATGAGAATTGTGAACTATAAAGTATTTTATTCCAATATTTGCTAATATTATTGTGAATTTCATAATCTCTATATTACAGCACATTTCTAAAATTTTGGATTCCTCCTTTGGACACAAAAACAGTATTTCTGGACAGAATTGTAATAGATTATTCTGCCAAGTAAAGTAACAGAATGAGGCAAACATTTGGATATGCCTTTTTTGTCTTGGCAATTCTCTTTTAAATATGCAAGACTCTGATTAGAATTTTTATGTTTGCATTGAGATGCTCAAAGCCTAAAATTTTTGAATTGTGGTATTTTATACTTATTTAGCCATGCCTTTTTCTTTCAACCACTGCCATTAAAATAATTTTTTTTCATACCCAAATTATTAAACTGTCAGCTATTTTTATATAGGTTTAGTTGGCCTCTAGCAATGATGTAAATTAATTCTAGCTAATAAACCTAGTATATCATTCATGAATGGACTTAAATGGTTCTCAATGCTCTATTTTTATGTCCCTGATATCAACCCAAATGGTGCTCTTAAATTGCTTCATTTCCAAGATATTTCCATGTTAAGAACTTCAGACATATGACATACAGAATAATCTGGTATTATTCTATTCATCAAGAATTCACCTAGAAAATCTTGTTTTGCAGGTGAATTAGGCTTCCACTAGGAATTAGTATAAGTCATAATGACTAATCTTACATAATACATTTGTTTATTTTCCTCTGAAAAGTTAGATTATATACTTCCTTGATGCTAAAATAATATAAAATATTTCTTGCTGGCTTTGTTTTTTTCTGTGCTTAGYTTAACACAGTGCATGCACTATAATAGTGTCTCTTGAGCCTTTACCAAAAAATTAACTAAAAACATGTCAAAATAAATTAGGATATTTCATCTTCATTTTTGATTGTTTTCAGCACTGAGTCTTCTCCCAAAATTTTACATAGTTCATTGAGTCTCTGCTGCATTTTGGGAATTCCAGCTAGCTGAGATTCTAGCTTTTGTTTTTCTTCACTCAATGTTAAACGGATAGCAGTATCCAATTGTTCAAAGCGCCAACCTCCTTCACCATCAAATTGTAATAAATGAGTATGGTATTTCCTGCATAATTAAAATGAAATAATATTATTAGCTACAAATGTGAAAAACCATTTTAGTTATAGGTTTATAATTCTAACTGATATGCAAAGGTAAATTTTAAGTAGAGGTGCCTATTTTATATTTGATTTTCAAGCATATCTCAAAAAGTTATATACTGTAATTTTTTAAAATACAAAAATCCAATACCTAGGAGGTTTTACTGACTTTTATCATTCTTTTATATTCTGAGTATATGTGAATTAAAAGAAAGACTATGCTGTTACMTGTATTAATTTACCTTCACAACCTTTTTGGCTCTGAATAAATAATAAAGCATTCTTAGAATGGAAGTAAGAAAAGGAAACTGAGGAAAGAAAGTAARAATTAAAAAGATCATGCAGAGACAAACTTCTTGGAAAATAAAATACWATAGGAATTCATGAATAATCCTTCTTTTGGTAGAAGTTCTACATAATTAAAAATTTCTCAATAATTGAAGTTTAGAAGCACTTTTTAAAAGATGAAATCTTTGACAGAAACATTTTAAAAATACTTCTATGTCTTCATATAATCTCTTTTATTATGGCTCAATTGCATATTTAGGAATTGCACATCAGTACAGAGATTATTATTGATGAGATAAGAGACAATGTATCTTCTCCCAATGGGAGTCTGAAGTCACTAGTCTCTGGGATTTGTGGGAATTGTGTGGAGAGAGTAAATTTAGCAGAGCTGGTTCCCATAACTGAGCTACCCGCATTTTGTCAACTTGCATTACTGCCCCACATTTTTTCGGTTTTTCTTTCTTTGTAGTTTTTTTTTTTCTTGTTTCCTATTTAGGTCTCATCTATTTTTATTTCCCATAAGTAGTGGGCCTTTTCAATAAGTTCCTTTATTCCAAATTAGGATGTAATTTACATGTCATAAATTCATCCTTTATGTAAAATTCATTGATTTTTAGTATATTCACAAGCTCATCTAACCATCACCATTATGTATACTTCCAGAACATTTTCTTCAACCCTCAAAGAAACCATATAACCATTAACAGTAACCCCATTCCCCCTCTCACCTAATTTCTGCCAAGCACTAATTTCCTTTCTGTCTTTATTGGATTTCCCTCGACTGAATATTTCATATACATGGAATCATACAGTACATTTCCTTTGTCACTAGCTTCTTTCACTTATCAAAATGATTTCAAGGTGTAGCTAGTTGTAGCATGTATCATTTCATTACTTCATTCATTTTTATGGCTAAATTATATTCCATTGTATAGAATTGTAGAGTTTATTTCTTCTTCAAGTAATAGACTTTTGAGTTCTACTGCCTCCATTTTTTTTTTTTTTGTGTGTGTGTGTACTGGTGATTGAACTCAGGGGCACGTGGCCAMTGAGCAACATCCCCAGCCCTATTTTGTATGGCTTTGAACTCATGATCCTCCTGCCGAGCTCTGGGATGATAGGTGCATGCTGCCACATCCAGCTTCTATTGCCCCCAATTTGTTAAAATATTTTTTAAGTTGTAGATGGAAACAATGCATTTATTTATTTATTTATTTATTTTCATGTGGTGCTAAGGATCAAACACAGTGCCTCACATGTGTTAGGCAAGTGCTCTACCGAAGCTCCTGACCCCAGTTTTTTGCTGTACTGAGGATTGAATTGAGGGCCTCATGAATACTAGTTAAGTGTTCTACCACTGAGCTATATCCTTAGCCCCCACGACTTTTGACTGGATGTTTATAACATGCTGTAATTATAAAAGGAAATTTAACAAGGTTAAAGTATAGCTAATAAAGTCACCATTGAGCTGAAAGTTTAAATTCATCAATTTGATTATGTATGACACAGATTAATTTTTTCCATGTGCTTTAGGTTCTTGAGCTTTCCAAAAATTTGACCTCCCAATGGATGGAATCATATCAAAAATTAATTGAAAACAATGTATTTCTAAATCAAGGAGAAAATTTTAAAAAATCTTCTACTAAAATATGGAAGTAAAAACCAAAGTAATGGAAAAACAAAAACAAAAGAATGGTATATAACATCAAATAAAAGAAAAAGTAATGGCAGGAAGTACATTTTGTTATATGTAACAACAAATTCTACCATCATGTATAAGTATAATGCACCAATAAAACATGTGGAATAAAAAAAGTACATATTGTTTATTTCATTCTCAACTTTCCCTGGACTTTTCTAGCCTTAGATTTATAGCCAGGAGTAATTTTAGAATGTGGTCATTCATATATTGAGTAAGTTCTACCTTCAAAGTATAATGAAGGTTTAACTCATCACTCTGGTCCTACAACATTACTTGATTTCTACATGGGAGGAACAAACAGTTCAGTTGTTTCTTGCCCTGAGATTCAAAGGCATGTTCTATTTTATGAGCTAAAATAATATTTCAAAGCCATAAAGTTGAAGTGATTAAAAAGAAACCACTATTTTAACTGAGACTCTTTGGAGATAATCTGTAGGCTTCCTTCACAAATAGGATAAAGTATAGAAGTCAAATAATTTAATAAGCTTATAATTGTTTTACTTTTTTAGACACTGGTATTGATTTTAATCTTTAAGATTAACAATTACCATTGGTTGGGTGGGGGTTGTGGCTCAGTGGTAGAGTGCTTGCCTAGCATGTTCGAAGCACTGGGTTCTATTCCCAGCACTGCACATAAATAAGTAAATGAAATAAAGTTAAAACTAAAAATAATAATAAAAAAGACTAAAATTATTTAAAAACAAATTACCACTTGTTGTTATAGGGAAAATATAATATGTCTTTTCCTACTTCTGAAATCTATTTAGAGAAAATAAGCATTTTACTTTCCCTGGGAGAAAATATAATCAGAAGTGATGAACTTACACAACCTAAATTGGCTAAACTAATTCACAGAGAACATGATGTTTAATTTTATGAAGAAATGTATTGTGGGTAGCTACAACTAAATAAATGATTCTCTTGTTAACATAACATTAAAGATTTTATTTGCTTAAAGAACTACTATTTCCTTCAACTGAAAAAACAATGACTGAATATGCTTCTAACATCTCTTTAGGCTATTAAAATAAAGGAACTGAAAGACAGGATAACATAATAAATCCATTGACAGAGGTCAGAAAAATACCAGGACTAAGAAATAACTATATTATTCCAAAATGTGGTCAATTTGGGAGTCTGTCTGGAAATTATAGATTCCTGCCAAAATGGCTCAAGAGTGCTGGTCTGGCTCTGTGTCATCCTCAATTCAGAGAATTTGGAGGCAGATATCAAGAGTAAATTGTGGTGTTTATTTTTCCTTACTATAAATGAAAGAACTAAAAGAAAAATATAAAAACATATTAATGTATTTTTTGCAGTAAATGCTAGGATTATTACAAATATTTTAAGTGCAAAGAAATCACTGATTTTCCAAAATTTTTCAAAATTACTGGAATATGATGATAATTTCTAACATATTAAAGATTATATTATTAGGTTCAGAATATGTTACTAAATTACTAGGAAGCAACTTAGGAAAAATACAGGTAGAAAACAAGAGAAATGCCTTATACTCTATAGTAAAAAGTTTAGCAAAGTTGTTTTCTAAGAAACAAGGAAAAAACATCTATTATAGATTAGTTAGCATTGGAAACACTTACCAAAGAGAAGGCCTATGTGTTATAGACAGTAAGGATATTCCAGCCCCTTTTGCAGCCTGAAATATCTTTCCTTCAACATCAATGCTGACAGCACTGGTACATTCATCCAGCAATGCATATTTTGGTCTTTAAAAAATAAACACAAATAAATTATTTTCCTGTATGAAGTATAAATCTTTCTTTGAACAATACAATTTACAATGCTAACACTTTCAAAGCAGCAAAAGAAGATGGCATTATTWAATGTTGTGATAAAGTGAAAATGTTATTTTTTTCTACTTAGAATAGAATATCACATTCCTCTTAAATAAAAGTAGATTTTCTGATACCTGCTCACAATACAATAAGCTTYGCTGTCATGCAGATGAATTCATCATGTATATGAAGCATATGAAAGATGAGACAGGTTTCTAAGTGCATTTTCCTGCAGAAGGCAGTTTCATTCTTGGTGACAAGGGTCTGACTAATTACATGCAAAGTACACTTACAGCAGCTAATTATTAAACAGTCACAGTCCTGTTACCAAAGATTTAATGAGAAGATTGTTTTATCAGAAATGTGAATACCTAAGCATTACTAATGGAATTTCATCATTACAAGACTGTGCAAGAGTGAATGTGCCTACTTGCAAATTTAGAGTATATATTTAGTTTCATAATATTGAGACCATGCTTCAGGATCAAATTCTTAGGGGGAAAAGTCAGTAAATATTTTTTGGTACACTCAACACATTTTTTCCAGCCCAATTTTTTCTTTGGTAATATATCTGTAGGATTAGAGACATCCTCTCACTTTACACTGTTTCCACCTATTTATTGCTCTTCCTTTCTTCCCCATACCCTTGATCTTATCCTTTTGTCCTTTTCCCATCTTCTTTCAACAAGACTTAGCTTAGTTAATGGGACTAAAGCCAATTCCTACTTTACTATTCATTTTAGGGTTGAAAATAAGTTATAAGAATTTGTCAGGACAATTTTCCTCAGGAAGATATTTTTAAATAAATGACAAAGAAAAGAAAAAAACATGTAATTATAGCAATTTCTTATTCTGCATAAACAATTACTCAACACTACAAGTTACTTTTCTAATATGTCTTTGCTTATTAATAGGATCCTCTTGCCTATTCTGGGGCAGSTAATCAAGGCTAATAGAAGATATCCTTGAACTCTAAAACTGCTTGTCACCCAAGAACTAAGACCACTGCATCTTCCCCATGATAACATTAATGAAAGTAGCTTTGGCTTTTGGTTTCTGTTCAAGCATTACTTCTTTGCCTGAATTGATCACTATTCTGTCAACTATTTTATTTAAACATAAAAGAAGAAGAAAAGAAAATATAAAAAAAGAAATGTTTGGGAAAAAATTTTGTTGTGCAAGTCTCTTTTTAGTAACAATTTTTTTTACTATATTTTGTCTTATTTTTCAGAGTGCTTTGAGCTAAACAGAGATGAGATGCCATTTTAGAATTAGAAAAAGTGTACATTTTATACTCTGTTGTCATAGCAACCCTTAATCTAGCAGATGTAAGATAAATCACACAGTTTTATTTCCTTGGCAGGACTGGGGGTGATACAATTAAATATACCAAGCAATAGATCTGGTACTGTTGTACCTAAATTAAGCATTAGATAATATTATTTCTCTGATTTCCTTCCCTTTTCTCTTGGGTTATCCTAAGTACCAAATTCATCTCCCTCAAGACAGTAGTATTGGTTTATTCTTCAAACATTAAAATCATCTTGGAAAGTGTATACTACTATAATTCTTAGTATTTTCTGCCAAAGTTCTCTAGGTAGCTCCAGTCCTGTGCATTATAACCTTTTCATTACTCCTTGAGAATGAAAGGAGGTAGGTAGTTCCTCAATATGATACTTTCCTTTCACAGGATTCTATTTTATAATTACTTTTCTGTTTTATCAAAACATGCTGCTTTTCAAATACTTGTCTTCATTGATCACCTATGGTTCACAAAGTTTTCCTTCTATTGATATACTTGTGACTTATCTTTACTCATTATCACTTTGTATGCAACATATTTTAGTTATACAAATATTAGCTATTTATTCCAAATTATAGGAACTTGAAATTTCTTTGGGTTAACAACCTTTATTAAAGCCTCTTGGCTTTTATTGCAAGGTTTGACTTTTAAATACACTGAAACAGTGAGAATTCATGGCCCATTTTACATTCTACCATATTACATTTCACCAACTATGTGGGTGATCGTATTACTGAATATTTACGAACCAGACCCAAACAGATTTAGGGTGATTAGGAGTAACAGCTGGTCATAAATGTCAAGCCACAAACTTTACCCCTGAGTCAAGAAAGTGGCATAATAAAATATACTTCACTAAAAATTACAAGTTAGAAAAATCTGGTTCATACTTTTTATTTTTAGCCCACTATATTATTACACGAATCATGTACATTATTACAAATATCATTCTATTAATACAACAAATTATTTTTCTCATAAAAACTCCCATGTAGTTAGGAAAATATATACTGCATGATTTCATTTATATGAAGTTATAGAATGATGTAAAACTAATTTATGATGATTGAAATCAGATTAAAACTTGTCTATGGGGCTTATGATTGGAAAGGGGCATGTGGGAACTTTCTAGGTAATAGAAATACTCTATCCTATTGTTGGAGGTTTGGTTATATAATGTACATATGTTTATGAAAAGTCACAAAATAGCATGCTTACAATCTACATTTGGAACATAAATTTTGTATCAAGAAGAGCCCTGGCTAGSTTATTACACAATAATACAGAATGCACATAACAAAATATGAAATAAAAAGAGGAATATGTTGTATTTATGAAATAGCTACATTAAGACAAAATTACAATCAACTTTYATGTACCAACAAAACTGAAAAGAAATTTATCCCAAAATTTGAAATTATTACTAATGAATTAACAGCTTTTAAATTCTTTTTGATATTCTATATTTTGTTTTTATAAGCATATTTTAAGAAAATTATTTAAATAATACATTCTTCTTTTAATGATAGACATTATGCATTATAGTCTTATCCAAAAGGCTGAACCTAAGTCTGATCAAGCTTTTCCCTCTAATTTACAGTTTACAGAAAAAATGAGAAGAACAAAATTTAGAGGGCCCCATGAATAAGCAACCAGATCAACTGAGACTAGGCAACATTCTCATATGACATCTGACCTGGTTTCTTAAATGAGTCAATGGTTTAAAAGGTAGTTGGGAAGGGAGAAGGAGAAATTCTTTAGATGTTTTATAATACCTCAAATATTTTTTTTAAATAAGGTAAATCAATTGCAGCAAATTTACATAGACATATTGAGTGAGTGCATTAAGAATATGGTGTTCATTTTACTATTTCTCTCTTTTAATAAAGGTTTAATAATTTCTCCACAATTAAAGTCTTCAAAATGATTGCCAACTAGTTGCAAGTGTTCAATAAGAACTATTTTATATATATATATATATACATATATATACAGATATATATCTGTATATATATTTGCTTTCTTGATTAGTTTTTTAAAAGTTATTTACAAAAGTATTACTACTTGTTCTGCAACTCATTCAATAACATTGGACCTACTCCTAGAAGAAAACATAGGGTAACACTCCAATACAGAGGCATAGGCAATAATTTTCTCAGCAGGATCCTTAAAGTTCAGGAAATAATTCCAAGAGTTAACAAATGAGATGGCATCAAATGAAAAGCTTCTGCATGGCAAAGAAAATAAAACTGAAGAGAAGCTAGGCATGGTGGCACATGCCTGTAATACCAGCATCTAGGGAGACTGAGGCAGAAGGATGGCAAATTCAAAGCCAGCCTCAGCAATTTAGCAAGGTCCTAAGAAACTTAGCAAAACTCTGTCTCAAAATAAAAAAATTTTAAAAACGACTGGGAATGTGGCTCAGTGGTTAAGCATCTCTGGGTCCTGGTCAATCCTTGAATCTCTGAGGATTAATAAAAAGTGTGAAGAAAGAACCTACAGACTGGTAGAAAAATCTTTGCTAGCTGCTCTGATAAGAGGATTAATATCTAGAATATATGAAGAACTCAAAAACTTGACAACATAAAATCAAATAGCCCAATTAATAATTGGGCAAATGAATTAAACAAACACTTCTCAAATGACAAAATACAAATGGCCAACAAATTTATGAAAAAATGTTCAACATCATTAGCAATTAGGGAAATGCAAATCAAAACTATATTGAGATTTCATCWMACATCAGTCAGAATAGCAGCCATCAAGAAAACAAACTACAATAAATGCTGGAGAGGATGTGGAGAAAAAGGAACACTTTATACTGTTGATAGAATTGTAAATTAGTACAACCACTGTGGAAATTAGTATGGAGATTCCTCAAAAGACTAGGCATAGAACCACCACATGGCCCAGCTATACCACTCCTTGGTATTTATCCTAAAGAATTAAAGTCATCTTACTACAGTGATATATATGTACCCATGTTTATAGCAGGACATTTCACAATGTGGACCTAAGTGTCTATCAATAGATGAATAGATGAAGAAAACATGGTATATATATATATATATATATATTTACACATATAATATATAAATATGATATATAAATATTTATATATAAATATGTTTATTTAATATAATATATATTTATATAAATATATATATACTTGAAATTCATTAATTGTTATTATTTCATATATATATATATATATATATAGAGAGAGAGAGAGAGAGAGAGGGAGAGAAGTTTTATTCATTCATAAAGAAAAATGAAATCATCTCATTTGCAGGAAAATGGATGGAACTAGAGACCTTTATATTAAGTAAAATAAGTCAAACTCAGAAGGTTAAGAGTTGTAGATTTTCTCATATGTGGAAACCAAAAAGAAAAAAGGAAAAGAAAGGGGGAGMAATCTCATGAAAATAGAATATCAGTAGAAGAAAGGAATGAGTGAGGGTGAAAGATGGGGAGGGAGGAGGAAGTGCTGAGCAATGATATTGGCCAAATTATATTGTTAAATCATGTTCATGTACAAATATGTAACAACAAATCCCATAATCATGTACAACTATAATATGCCAATAAAAAATGTAGGGAAAAAATAATGTTGCATCTGCCCTAACTCACACCTCATTTATATACACAATTTTAGTCCTTTTTACTCAAGACATAAGTACTTAAAATGAGTAACATAGTTCCTTGTAAACTCCTGCTTTGCACAACTCAGGTTCTCATTGCTAGAGACCTAAGATATGCATGGGGAAATAGATATGTGTGTGTGTTGGGAGGAGACAGAGATAGATATTGAGATCTTCTTCAAAGAACAGGACAAAAAAGCAAAACGAATCAGAACACTATTTCCTTCCTGTGTCTTTTGCTTGGTATCTCAAAAAACTATGAACCTGGATGAAAAAAACAAAGGTTTATCAAAAGAAATGATTTTCTCTCTCTTGTTTTTTCTGAGTCTACCAAGACATATGTGGGCTGATTCCTTTCTTCATTGGAAATAACTTCTGGTTTTTCAGAGGGAGCAGATCATTGGTTTGAGAGGCTGCTCAATGGTTAMAAAGTTTATTTAGTTTGAATTTAGTAATTCAATTTAGAATTATTACTGAACACATATGTACTGGTTAGTGGTTAGGAATTCTCCACACTTGAAATTAGTAACAATCCTTTTTTAAACCTTAGGATATACAAAAATTTAATTTGACCCTCTGTGCATTATTTCATATAGGTTTCTTGACATAGAGGTAGAAAAAAGCCAAAATACTTAGAGATTTAGCTGTAAGAAAAATAAGGTAAGAAACTTTAAAACTGTAAATTCTATGCATTAGTTTTTACAGCAAGATATTTTTAAATGAAAGATGCATATACTTAATCCTGTTACCCCCTTTTCTTTGGTTATTGCAATAGAATATTAGCTACCTGAATAGAGCATACTTACTTATGATAAAACATACGAGCCATGCCCATTCTTTGCTTTTCCCCTCCTGACAAGACATCTTTCCAGTCCATAACAGCATCCCATCCTAAAAAAAGTAAAAATATACATATGTAAATATATATTTACACATATAATATATAAATATGATGTATATAAATATTTACATATAAATGTTTAATGTAATATATATTTATATAAATATATATATACTTAAAATTCCTTAATTGTTATTTTTTCTAATAGAAATAATAATTACTGGCCAGAAAAGTGATTACTGGCATGTTCTAATTGTAAGCATGAAGAACTTGGTATTCTATAGAAMATGTTGGGACACAGAGCCTCATGTACAAGCATTTTGTTTCAGATTTGATATTTTTAATGGTAATAATTTCTTATATTGACAAATCATTTTGTAAGAATTCTAAACACTGAAACTTTAAATTTTTTTGTTTGTTTCTCCATATCTGCAAAGTGTTGATGGGTTTATGCTTATTTTAGAGGAAGACAGAAAAAAAGACCAACAAATTTGCATAGGTCAATTACAAAGCCTACAAAGGGTAGGAGAGGAACTGATTTAAATGACTCCCATTTGCCTGCTACCTTGTCAGTTTTTCTCATTCTTAACTCTACAGCTTAAAGACAGATATTATTACTTGTCTTTTATATGTACAAAATTCATGGTATAATAGCTTATAGTTAGTTAATCAGAACTAGGATTTATATCTAAGTATATTTGATGTTTTCTTAGTTTACCTGTTCTGCCTTTGAAGACATCTTAACTACTGACTTTCCATTTGATATTTATTCAAAAARTAAGATTTCTATGTTTAAAAAAAGCTCTATATATTTAAAGTGAAAATTTTGAAAAAAACAAAATTGCAGAATTGYATGTATTATTATTGCATTTCTGTAAATAAACATAAATACACACATATACCATACATTAAGAACTATATTTGGGRGTGAAATTATGAGCTTTTTATAATCTACATTAAGCATTTTTAGAATATTTAAACATTTTATGATTAGACTGTCTTACTTTTGTAAGACAGGGGAGAAAAGATTATTTAAAAACAAAACCACAGTTCCATTCCTACAGAGCCTAATTTTCAAAGAAGAAAAATGACTGTCAAAACTCGACAAACAGTTGCAGTAACATTTCCAAATTTTAAGTGTCCAGGGTTTGATTCTCCCACTTGGAAAAATTCCACATTCGTTGCCCTCATMTTTCTCCCTTAGCTGAATTTTCATCATGATTAAAATTTCTAAATGAATTTGGTTAAAGGGAAAGAAAACAGAATATTCATTTTTAAATGTATACTAGGTATCTAAAAATCCAAATTATTAAAATGAGTATTTGATTCTTTGCTGATCAGAAGGAGAATATGTTTTTCTTTCAACATAAAAATTCAGAATCTTTGATAGAAAATGTTGTTAAACATAAAATGCATCTTTATGCTTATTAATGTCTTTTTCTTTTAAAGTTTATCATTGCAAAGTCCACTGCACTTTTAAAAAAGCCTAAAATGGTAAATAAGAAACCAAACCAGTGGTTACCTATTAATGGGTAGGTGATAACTAGATGCAAGGGAACAAAAACAGGAAGAATTTTTCAGAATGCATTTTTAATACTTTTTAATTTTGAATAATGTGAAAGATTACCTATTCTAAAAATTAAAAAAGAAATATAATGACAGTAATACATTAAAAATAATCAATCTAGAAGTGTCTGGCATGAAAGGACTTCCTAATTTTCCACCGACACTAAATTTTACTTCAGAGGACCACTGTTCATTTCCTTGGGTAAACTTCCAGAAGTTGTCTATATTTAAAAATACATCCTTTTAATTTTATATTAGGAAAAAATTCTCAAAATGCCATCGGAGTAATAGCTCTTACTTCTAGAACTTATTGAAATAATAATATATAATATAATATGTATCATGTGATTTTCCGTGCTTTCCCCATGCTGAATTTTATATTACTTATGAAATGTAAGTGATGGTTTGAAAAAATCAATTTAGATTGCTACACAGTGAAGAAATATTCTGGGCTTAAAATAGTATTCCCCCTGACTACCAAGAACAAGGCACAACAGAAAAGTATTTGGGTAAAAGGAAACATTAACTTTTACATATTTTAATAAATTATGTCTTTTAAGCCAAAAGGTTTTACAGGTAATACTGCATCATCACATAACACATAAGTTAGAACTCTGGGTCCTAATGCTGCCTCTGATGTGAGTTTATCGAGACTAAACCAACTAAGAATAAAATTATTTTCCTGTTTCCTAGAGATGCACAAATTTCTTCAGTTCATATCCATTTGTTACCACTTCTATTCTTTCCTACTTTGTAACTTGTTTGATAGAATGGCATGGAGTTCTTAGTTCCATCCTTTACTAAGCAAAGGATTAGCTAGTCTAAATAGAACTTCCATAGGCTTCTTCTAAAGTAAGTGATATACTTGAAAGTTATTTTTTTTTGCTTTACTCAAATGTATCATGTYTAAGGATTAAGAAAGGAAAACAATTTTTCTTGAAAAATTCTTACATGTAAGGATATAATTGTTCTTATAAATATCTAAAAAGCTAGTGGGTAGCATAGCCTAGAAGCATACCCTAGCAGTGAACACAATTTCAAGTCTGTGTTTGAATTCTTGCTCCATATTTATAGGGAGATCCTAAGTAAGTTATTAATGAGATTAATCTATAAAATGAGAATAGTAAAGCCTACATCATGGAATTCTTTATGAATATTAAATAAAATGATAAATGAATTGCTTAAATGGTATATACCGAATAATAAATACTTAATAAATCATAACAATTACTATTGTATTATTAAGGTTGGAACTTTCTTCTGTTTTTCTTTAATAGGGAAAAGACACAAAAATTATTACATGCCTAAATTATGCAAGTGTTGGAATGTAGGCTTACAATAGCCTTAAAAATAATTTTAGGATGTAGTCACAATTTTTAAAAGAATATAATATTCCCTATTTTAAGCTTCTGTCTGGCTCACTGGATTTCAAACCCACTCAAAATAACTTGCCCAAGACAAATATGTAGCATTTACTMTGCCACAATATTTTATCATCAAGAAGGAGTTGACCACATGAAACAAAAAGAAAATCTGCTTTCCCTTTGTAGTAAAAAAATGTAACCCCATAAAAATATGTAGGCTGGGGTTGTGGCTCAGGAGTAGAGCACTTGCCTAGCACATTCAAGGCCCTAGTTTCGATCCTTAACACCACATAAAAATAAACAAAATAAAGGTATTGTGGCCAACTACAACTAAAAAAAAAATCTAAAAAAAAAAGAGAGTCTGTCTTGCTGATTAATTTGCTTATTATTAGGATCAAATGAAATAACATGTGAAATTGCTAAGTAAAACATGAAATACCATCACACAATGATAAAGTATCATAAGCATCAACATTACAACTGCTATATCACCATTTCCTATTAATTTTTGTTATGCTACATGCTTTATATATGTGTTTAATTATTTTTTATTTAATCTTCACTAAAACTTTASCAAAAAAATATTTATCCATTTTTACAGTTGAAGATACAGAAAGTAGTGCTAACTATCAGGATTTGATTGTCAAACTCTCTTGAGTTCAAAGACAATATTCTCAATCACATACTATACTGTTTATTCTAACAATGTAGATGGGGTGTGAGACATATCATAAAATCATTGCAAAATTAAACCTGGAATTCTGGTTTATTTTAGTAATTAAATTTAATGTAAGCTAAGAGGTTGGCAGACCAGTATTTCTGTCATAGACTTTACATAAATGAAGAATGACAACAACCTCAGGGACACTTATACATTTAAATATAAGACAAAAACTTTTAAAAATACTAGCTGTAGTGACACTAAAATCTGATAAAAGCTTAGCATGCTATGTTAAACATAACTCAGGCAGAAGAGGGAGTGTCAGTAACGGAAAAGCAATAAACTATGTGTTTATTATGTTCCAATAATAGCATGCATTTAGATAAAACATAAATTAATTACATAGCCAAGTTTATTTTTAAGTGAAGTAGAAGCATTAAAAATTGATAGATTCTACCTCCTTCTCTTTGAACTATGTGATAGAGATGGACGTTGTGTAGAATACATTCCAAATCTTGATCTGTATAACCTTTAGCATGCATATCATCCACTGAGTCAGGATAAATGACTTGATCTCGAAGACTTCCAAGGGACATATATGGCCTGTAAAACACCATGCACACAGGATCCTAGTGTAAAATCACTTTAGTGTACTCAGGGTGCCATAATGTTGATCTAAAAACAACAGAGTTGACTTTAAACTCTATATTATATTTGTTACCTGAAGATAAGCACTGGTCTCTCAGGCACTGCAAAATAATGCCCTATTGTGTGTATGTAAAAACTTATTGAGACATAAACACAAGAAAAACTTTGACAAGAAATCATTTGACATTTTCAGCAGAGATATATGTTCTTTACTCAATTGTATTTGACAAAGATTTCTTCTGTACTTCACCTACAATTATTTGTTCTAAACATTAAAAAGTTGGGGTTTTGTTTGACTTTGCAATGTAAACAAAATGAAAAAAATGTCATTCTTAGAGAAATGCAAATTAAAATGTTGCTGCATTTTTTTGCTGATCACACTGGCAAAAATTCAACAGCTTGATAAGTCACTCTGCTATGACTCTATGAGGAAATAGATGCTCCGATACTATGGTAAAAATGCAAAATGGTAGAATCCCTTTGGAGGTGATCTGGCAAACTGACATATTATTTGCCCTCTCTGACCCATTTCTGGACATTTATTCTGAGGATATATTTCTAGAAATACTAGAAGTAAAAAATGCATGAAATTATCCATTACAATATTATTTTAAAAACAAAATATTTAAAAACAACTTAAATATCCATAGATTGTTTGAATAAACTATAGTATATCCACCACATAGTTATAAAAAAGGATGAGAAAGATCTCTATAAAGATAATAAAGTTATTTCTATGCTAATATTTAAAAGGAAAATGCAAAAATGGACATAAAGCAGGATTTCTAAATAGCAGTATCAATATACTGAACCAGAAAATTCTTTATTGTCAAAGGCTGTCCTACATATTGTAGCAGTATACCTGTTTTCTACCCACTAGATGTCAGTAGCACCCCCTTCAGTGGTGTGATTAAAAAAAAAAAATATCTCCTGATACTGCCAAAAGTCCCTTCATGGACAAAATCATCTCCAGTAGAGAACCACTGAAATATAGTATCTTACATTCTATGTCAAAAAGAATTAAAAAGCAAAACAAAATATACACATTTCTTGTTATAACTCCAAAAGGATATTCAGGAAGAATAAACCAGAAATCGGTTACTTAAGGAGGTGGACTGATCAAGGAAGATAGACAAGGAAGGAAATGGCCTCTTTAAGTATCCTTTTAATATAATTTTGTAGAATCATGTTAAAATTTTATTATTGATAATAAAATTAAACCKACAGCAATGAAGAAAGAAATCTTAAAATCGAATACAAACAGAAACAAATTAACTGAACAAGTATCAAATGGATGGTATAACCCAAAGAGGARAATGTAGGAGTAGAGATAAATTAAACAACTTTTGAATTTAGCTCCATAATATCAAAGGCAAAAGAAAAAAAGAAAAAGAAATGTTGAACCTCATTTGGTAAACTTATTTTTGGTAACAATATAGGTACAGCAATTCTGAAACTGTTTCTTGTGTATTGTAGGATTGATCAAATAAAATACTTTGATATTGTTAGGAGCTGGAATTCTCACTATGGAAGAAGGAAGACAGAAATATGGAATGTGCAAGGTGAGAAGAGATTAATGTTAGAATTAGAGTATTGGTATGAATTTATGATATTAAAAAACAACAATAATTTCCTAGCTCTATCCAGATCTGAACATCCTTTGAGAAGGATGCAACATTATTTAGGTAATATATTGAATTTCATTGTAGATCCAGAAACATATGTCTTACTCCTAACCCTGCTGTCTGTGATGAGTAACCTAATTTACAAACAGGTTTTATTTTTTCCTATAAGAAATTTCATTTTATTTCACATGTGTTGATGTATAGATTATAAAATAAAAATAATAAATCTAAAATATATTAAATATAGTCAGAATATTTCAAATAATGAAAATCCTCTGGTAGTGAATAGAAGTTGTTAGTTTTATAGCAATTAATTAAATATTTTTATTGGAGCATATTAATTAATACAGAATTATGGGTTTCATTGTGGCATATATTTGCACATGCATATAGCATAGTTTGGTCAATATTACTCCCCAGTACTTTCCCTTAGCCCTCTCCTCCATCCTTCCCATGCTTACCTTCCTCTACCTTAGTGAGGGATTTCTCTTCTGCTTTCATGACATTCCCTTTTCCCCCCTATAGCTTCCAAATATGACAGAAAACATGATTTTTWAAAAATCTTTCTGTGGTTGGTTTATTTCACTTAGCATGATGCTCTAAAGTTCCAGCTATTTTCCTGCAAATGATATACTTTCATTGTTCCTTATGGCTGACCAAAACTCCATTGTGGATTTTTTCCCACCCATTTGTGGATTCATCTGATTCCATAACTTGACTATTTTGAATTGTGCTGCAATAAACATGGGCATACATGTATCTCTAAAGTATGCTGACTTTAATTCTTTTGGATGACTACCAAAGAGTGGTATACTTGGATCACATGGATCACATGGTAGTTCAATTTTTAGTTCATACTGATTTCCATAATGGCTCTATTAATTTATATCTCTTCCAACAGTATATAAGAGTTCCTTTTTCTCGGTATCTTTGCCAGAATTTATTATTGTTTGTATTTTTGATGATTGCCATTCTGACCAGAGTGAGATAGAATCTCATTGCAGTTTTGATTTGCATTTGCCTGATGGCTAAAGGTGTTGAACATTTTTTCATTTAGTTGTTTGCCATTAGTATTTCTTTTTTTGAGAAATTTCTGTTCATTTTGCTTTCACATTTGTTGGATGTATTATTTGCTTTCTGATGTTAAGTTTTTTGAGTGTTTTTTAATATATTCTGGTTTTTAGTCTTCCGTCAGAAGAGTGATTTTTCTCCCATTCTGTAGACTGTTTTTTTCATGTGGTGCTACCCCCATTTATTGATTCTTGTTTTTTTTTTTTTCTTGAGCTACAGAAGTCTTGTTCTGCTAGTCATTGCCTATGACAACATGTTGAAGTGCTTCCCTTATGTTTTATTCTAACAGTTATAACATTTCTGGTCTTGCATTAGATATTTGATCCGTTTTGAATTGACTTTTGCGCAGGGTGAGAAACAAGGACTTGGTTTTATTCTTCTACAGATGGATGTCCAGTTTTCCCAGTGCCATTTGTTGAAGAGGCTATCTTTTCTTCAACATAAGTTTTTGGTACCATTGTCAAGAATCAATGACTAGCTGTGTGGGTTTGTCCCTGTGTCTTCTATTCTATTCTATTGTTTATGTCTCTTTTTCTGTTAGAACTAGGCTGTTTTTGTTATTATGGTTCTCTAGTGTAATTTGGTATTGTGGGTATTGTGATGATTCTTCCAGCATTGCTCAAGTTGGGTATTGTGATGATTCTTCCAGCATTGCTCTTTTTGCTCAGAATTGCTTTGGTTCTTACGGGTCTTTTGTTCTTCCATATGAATTTTAGATTGATTTTTTTCTAGTTCTGTGAAGACCACTATATATATATATTGGAGATGGACACAATTCCTTTATTTTGTTTGTTTCTATTTTTAGGTGGTGTTGGGGATCAAACCCAGTGATGCATGCTAGGCAAGTGCTCGAGGCAAGCCCTCTACCACTATGCTACAAACCTGGCCCCCATCATAGATGCTTTGATGGGGATCACATTGAATCTGTGCATTGCTTTGGGGAGGGTGGCATTTTAACAATAGTCTGCTTATCCATGTTCCATTCATCTGTTTATCCATGAACATGGGAAGTTTTTCTATATTCTGATGTCTTATTTGACTTTTTTAAGTGTTCTATAATTTTTTCTTGTAGAGATATTTCACCTCTTTGGCTAGATTGATTCCTAAATTATATTTTTAAAGCTGTTGTTCATGAAATCGTCTTCCTGATTTCTTTCTTAGTGGTTAATTATTGCTGTATAGAAAAGCTAGTGTATGTTTTCAAACATTGATTTTTGTATCCTGCTACTTTGCTGAGTTTACAAGCTCTTGAAATTCTGTGGTAGAACTTTCAGGATCTTTCAAGTATAGGATCATGCCATCTATAAATAGGGATAGTTTGGTCTTAGCAGATGTAATTAAGTGAAGAATCTTGATATAGAATCATTCTAGATTAATTAGATGAACCCTAAGTTCAATAAATGCCCACATAAAAAGTGGAGAAACACGGGAAGGAAAAAAAGAGGCCTTATGAAGGAGGAGGCAGATATTCCAGTTATGCTGCTATAAACCAAGAAGAGTTAGCACTGCAAGGAGCTGAGAGGGAGGGAATAATATTYCCCTGGAGGCCTCAGAAAGTGTGGAAATTGTCAATACTTTGACTTGTGGCCTCCAAATATGTAAGAAAATAAATTTCTCTTGTTTCAAATCACGAAGTTTTTGGTAATTTGTTATAGTTGCTCTTGGAAACTAAAACAGGTGGTATTCCTGAAAAAAAATGMATAACCTGAATCATATATGGAAATTATCAGATGAATCCAAATTGTCTTAAAAATAACAACAGTTCTGCACTCTCTAAAAATATCCATATCRTGAGAAAAAATAGAAATACTGAGGAAATCTTTGAGATTAAAAAAACTAAAGCCACATGGCAACTAAATGATACTGGGTTCAGAAAAGCATGTTACTATAAAAAACCGTATAATGACAACTGCACACTTTGAATATGGACTATATTTTAGATGTTAATATTATGTAAGTGTTGAATTTCCTAAATTTGATCATTGTAACAAGGTTATGTTAGAGAATATCTTTGACCATTGAAAATATACCCTAAAGCATTTAGGGGTGGTTTATGAACATTACGATTTACTTTTCTGTTTGATTATTTGTTTTGCAACTTACTTAAAAAAAAAAAACAGAATAAAGCATATATTGTATATATGTGTCCATGTCTGGAAAGAAAGGTTTTAGAATATAAAATATACTTTGTATATCAAATGTCTATTTYTTTCATAGTATGAGAACCATTTAGTTGGTGATAGATAGTACATGGTTCTT